TGCCGCCAGCAACATCGTTACAGCTGAATTTTAAGGACCGTCTAACAACGCACCGGCATAAGTTTCGTGAAACACTTTAACGAGGGACGTTTAGGACAGCGTTAGGCTCTCGTACAAGAATTCTAAGGATATCCTTAAGATGGCGTTTTTACGATAGCTTCGTGAAACGGCCCCCTGGTATCCCAAATGGATACCATAATAAAAATCTAATTTCGACCCCTGTATATAGAGACATGTTACAAGTCTAATGGCGACCCAGCTCACTGTGAGTTGCTACGCTAATCTCTCGCGTCATTTAGTCATATATCCTGCAACTAGAACTACCACAAATGACGTACTGACTGAACAAAAATGTAACATAAATTCTGAAGGTTTAGATTTACGTTTACTTTGATACTGTATTACAGTATTGGCGCCATAGGATACAGTGCATACATACCTATAGCACATACCGCCATAGCATACACACACGAACAGCCGAAGCACGCCACATGTAAGGTGCACTGAAGCATTTCATCTCTTCAAAATCTGCTACCATAATAAGAAGCTTCTTAGCCACACTTAACCCCTGCGTGTCATGCCTTCACAGGCCTTGCACAGTATTCGCGTAGACACAGAAGTTACCTCCTCGGCGGGTTTTCGCTTTACACTACGGCTAGCCAAAACAATGAAAACACGCTGGAAATTGCGCGTTGCTTGATGTACGATAGCCTAAGTACTGCCCCTGACCTCTTCTTAATATTCCTCCTTAATAGCAACGTCGTTGAGTTAGCGAGACGTTTGTGAAACGTGGAAACTTAGCGAGGCTTTCGTGAAACACTCTATATATAAGGATATCCTAAAACCCCTCTTTAACCCATCACTAACTTAACGAGCGCTTCGTGAAACGGCCCCCAGGCTCTCCGACTGTTACTAATACCATGTCGTAGGAGCCTGACACCCTTCCATACGAAATGCCTGGTAGCTTGAAAACAAACTCCGAATTTCGTAAAATTTCGTAAATAAAACAATGTATTACCACATTTGACCTCACCTAGTTACATGTTTGCAACTATCGCATCACTTCTTAATACACCCATTGACAGTTCTGCGCCTATGTTCTGCGCCAATAGTTACGCATCTCCGCGAGAGCCCGGATGTGCGAGTAAACTCCGCCATATTGTTTATCTCGATCCGTTATCTGTCTTGCATATGCAGGTCGCTCACCTTTGTGTCGAAGAACAGTGCAAGTATCAGGGAATAGAGCACCGATAATGGATGACCTGAGTGACATGACACTTGATACATTTAAATTATGGTCAATGCATGGTCTAAAAGTCTTTCTTAAGCCAATACGATCCGTTTGAGCAGCCCTTCACACTACACGTTAACGCCATTGTTCGCGCATTTTACTCGCGCTTTCTGGGACGGAAACTCCTCCCGACCTTTGACCTTAGGCTAAGCGCATGCGCAGTGTTAAACTGTCAACGGGTGTATTGGTACTATTTACCTCGAAATACACGTTAAAATAAGAGAATTTCAAACAGCTATACTATTTGAACGTTGTAAAACGCCATACTGGATGTTCTTATGTCTCTTTTTCTATGGGTTGTACTCATAGATATCATATAACAATATTATCATATATAATCATAGATTCATAGATATCATATGTTGTTATATGATATTTATGGTTGTACTTGTATTTTTCGCTACGTATGATGGGATATCTATATGAAAATGGTGGCGTTTTTTAAAGTTTTATCTTATCAATTTATAAATAATTATTCGCTGACACGTAAATGCATGCTCAGTGATAGCGCACATATAATAAATCGAGGCGTGGAAGTACAGAGAAGCGGTAACAATCATAAAAAGTTAGATAATTTTACGTTTAATAGCAGCGCACGTCATGCCTAACAATATTCTATTGCGTCTGCTTGTGACCCTCTCGCCAACGTAGTGTTAAGCGAGAAGGGAACTTGTGGCTAGGCCAATGCCAAATGGCAATGGCAATGCCTAGCTCTAGTGCTATAGCCCACGTACAGTTGCCGCAGGGCCATAGAACATTCTATTACGAGTGCTCGGGACCAACTTATCCAACTCCAATCAGCAGGTACTATGTGTTTCCTCACGTGGAGGGGTGGGCGGGTTGTGTTGGCGCGATAACCATGCTTCCAACTAGCCACAAGTTCCCTTCTCGCTTGACACTACGTTGGCGAGAGGGTCACAAGCCGGCGCAATAGAATATTGTTCGGCATGACGTGCGCTGCTATTAAACGTAAAATTATCTAACTTTTTATGATTCTTACAGCTTCTCTGTACTTCCACGCCTCGATTTATTATATGTGCGCTATCACTGAATACCGTATTTACGTGTCAGCAAGCAATTATTAGAATTGATAAGATAAAACTCCGAACAAAGCCGCCATTTTCCCATAGATATCCCATCATACGTAGTGAAAAATCTGAAGTTCAATCAGTAAATAATAGTTTCCGCGCATGCACAGTAGTACAAACATAGACATAAGAACATCCAGTAATGCAGTATGGCGTTTGACAACGTTTAAAAGTAAAGCTGTTTGGAATGATCTTATTTTAACGTGTATTTCGAGGTAAATAGTAATTAAGAAGTGTAGCGATAGTTGTAACATGTAACAGCTGAGGGTCAAATGTGGTAATACGATTGTTTTATTTACGAAATTTTACGAAATTCGGAGTTTGTTTTCAAGCAACTAGGTATTTCGGTCGACTGCTGTCAGGCTCTACGAAAATCGTGGTTAAACAAGCCCCGTGGAAGGCCTGGGTCGGTTTTAGCTTCCAACCTGATTTTTGTAATCGTGGGCAACTCGCACCAACACTAACCTCGCACCCTACCACGTGCGGAATACTAGTTCCGCTGACTGTGCTGGTTGCAGAGGCCACCAAAAAATGGGCCGTTTGAAGTTCGTAAATAATGTTCGTTCAGTTAAGAAATTAGCGCAAGTAGAGCCATTTAACAGTAGTTAGAGGTTAAATTTAGTAGGGGATGATATAATACTTAAGGACATTTACTTTGGGATATAGAGCATTATTGGTGGCCTACTCACATGCAGTTTATAGCGCGGCGTAACGTGAATAAGTTGCGTCGCCGGGAGCAATGGTTGTAGTAGAATGTTCTTCAGAGCGTGCGGCAACTGTACGCGGGCTATAGTACTAGGCTATTGGCATGCGCTGTCACAAGCGCTGCTCGGCAGTCTTACGCCAAGGTAGGTTAGGATTAGGTCGAATCGTATGTATATCAGTGGTGGATAATTAGCTGTTGCGCGATATCTTTGCGGGAAAGTAGATTCTTGTGTTGGATACACGAGATTTCACATGCTTAGTATCCTGCGCGGATAGTAAAGAAAAATGCAAAATGCGGTGATATGTTGTTGTTGAGGATATTTGCAAGCGGCAAGCGTAAGCGTGGCCGATGTTTATCATAATGTGTTGTGTAATACGATTGTACAGAGATGGCCAACGCACTACGATTTATCGTATTTTATACGGAATTCTATTTCTTTTTGCAACCACTAACGACCAGTTTGTATCTAAAACTACGAATTTCGATGTGATCTGAAAAAAATCAATTATGTGGTCATTATTTGTCATGTGCCCTTGCCTCAGCGCTTTTTGTCTATTTTATTGTTCATGTTTGTGAGCCTCAGCAATGGCATGGAAATTCGTGTCATCTGCAGAATCAAATTTTGTTTCGGGTAGCCCCCTTAGCAAAACTCGGTCACTACGTACTTACCCCCGAACTACTAATTGATGGCCGAAACTACAGATTGCTTCAAAATAAGTTTGCAATCTCTGGGATTGTTATTCACCTAACCTAGACAATGCGTTCTAGAAATACCGTCCTGTGTGTACTTGTTGCATAATCTTGTGAATCGCTGTTTTCCATGTTTTTTATATAATAATTATTAAAGTAATAATAATTTTCAATGCTAATTAAATGCATGTATTCAAGATTTTTGTATAACCAACATTGTTGAATTACTATCCAAAGAAATGGGATCGCCAGATCTCTTGTGGGGATAATCCGGATGATTTCAAACTGGTATCCCGAGATGGATACCATGAATGAAAATCTAATTTTCGACGCCTTGCTATAGGACCCCCAGATTTTAATGATTGATTGAGTTGAAAGTCACCAGCGAAGTCCGTAAGTTATATGTCTACAATTACAAAAGTGAACAGTCGCATAGCACCCTACCACTAAGTACATCGTACCACCAGCCTAACATCACATGCAGGTTCAGGGCATTGTAAGCACAACAATGTTTGCATTATGATTATTGAATATTGTCAGGCCTCGTTTGAGCGGCAGTAATGAGTGATTTATAATAGTGTTCAATCCTTTTCAAATTTCCCCAGTATGTGGTGGGGCAAGCTGTTTAGTCTTGGTGGTGTTTTTTAGAATTAAAAATACAAGACTCACTTTCCGTGTAATGGTGAAAAATGACTTGATAAACAGTTTTTCATATGACTTAAAAGGTTATTGAAAGTAATGGCTATGCTCAGTTAGGAGAATTGTGTGCTTTCCAGGGCTGGCAATTTATTATGGTTGGCCTGATGTCTCTGTCTCGAGTGTAAAGCTTTCGAGTGCTTACTATAAAACGTATCCACTACAGGAACGATGGCAGCGTGTCAACAGAAGTCAGTCACAACAGAAGAATCGATAAAACAAGGCAATGGGAAGAAGCGTGCTAAAGATCAAAAGCATCACCGGAAGCAGCACTGTCTTTTTAAATGACTCTGTCTGTATGGTAAATTATTCTTATGTACACGGTAAGTGTACCTTAAGGATATATGACTAGGGTGTACGATATACCCGGTATATTCGTATAGTTGCATATATATTTGAAAACTCGATATATTTGCGATAGCACTTCCGGATATCGATATTTATACGATACGGTGTAATAAAAGAATAAATTACTTGACCTTGCCTCTTATGTCTATTGTTAGATGTGTCAAACATTATGCACTGGCGTGTAGTATATTAGAAAGTCAGCAATTTCTACAACCGAGCATAAGTATACTGGTAAGCGACCCACGTGATGGAGACTGCGCCGCACTGACTGCGCGCGGCAGACTGTGAGCTGAGACAGAGAGCACTGGCAACGCAGGGAGTATATATAAGACATGCCATGAGTGCCGACGCGCGTCATGTGTCCGCGCTGAATACAAAGCTGAAAGCGAGCACCCACTGTTTCAGTTTATTCCAGTTATCAGTTTCAGTTTTCAAGTTTCAGTATCGCAGTAATTAGCCATTAATGCAGCAGGGGTATCAGAGGGTATCTCCAGTCCACAGCGGGTGTAAACTACTGCGTCACACGTAGCAAAATGCACGGTTCGTACGTCATACGATAACAGAGTTCGTACGTTACTCGGATAAATTCCCGATCGTTGAACGACACGTAAGCTAACTCAGTTTCTAAACGCGTATCACTTATCCTGGACAAAAGAGTGCGTTTCTCTACGTACTCGCGTAAGCTAATACTCGCTCTAGGCGACGTGTGCGAAGAAACGGCTATAGCTATAGCGCGTATAGACGCGTCACGCTTTGTGGGTGGGAGAGAGAGAACCTGGAGAGAGGGAGAGAAGAGAGAGCAGAGAGAGAAGAGAGAGAGAGAGAGAGAGAAGAGAGATGAAGAGAGAGAGAAAGAAGAAGACAGGCCAGAGAGACGGCATAGAATTAGAGAGAGGGAGTGAGAGAGGTGAGACACATAGAGGGATGAGAGACATGCGGAGAGGAGGGGAAAACGCATAGAATCAGGGAGAGAGAGAGAGAGAGCAGAGAGAGAGAGAGAAGAGAGGAGATGAGAAGAGAGGGCGGCTGCGCAAACACACAGAGATTGGGACACAGAAAGAGAAAGGAGTATTAGGCAAAAAAGCACGAAACTATAACCGATTTGCGTAATCTATCGTTTCCCTTTCGCTCCTAGCGCGCAGCTATAACGCGACGTACGTAATCAAAACTACGTGTGAAGCGCTGTTTTAACTCCGAAGGTACGCTATACTCGTCGTCGTTGGAGTCCGTAAGATAACGCTTCGAAACTGCGTTTTTACGGTAGTGTGAACGCAGCTAATGAAGAGAGAAGCTGGTGACGAAGGAGGAGGGGGAGGAAGCTGGTGGAGAAGAGGAGGGAGAAGGGATAAGCAGTGGAGAAGGAGGAGGGGAGAAGCTGGTGGGGAGGAGGGAGAAGCTGGTGAGAAGAGGGAAGGGAGAAGGGAGAAGGTGGTGAGAAGGAGGGAGAAGCTGGCGAAGAAGAGGATGGAAGGTGGGGTGGAGGAGGGAGAGAAGCTGGTGAGAAGGGAGGAGGGGGGATGAAGCTGTTGTGTAGGAAGGAGGAAAGGGGAGGAAGCGAGGGACGAGGGGAGCGTGTGATGAGGGAAGGGAGAAGGGAGTAAGGCTGTGGCTGAAAGGGAGGGGAGGAAAGCTATGGTCGAAGCTTCTCTTCTTGCTCTCAATCAGCTTTCCCCGTCTGCTCTCACGCGAGATTCTGCCCTCTCCCCGCTTCGCTCTTCTCTCACCGAGCTTCTCCCCCTGGCTTCTCACTCTTGCCTCCGTTGCGTCCACAGCTGCTCCCCTCCTCGCTCGAGCCAGCGTTGCTCCTTTCTCGGCCTCCTTGTGCCTCGCGACCGTAGCTTCTTCGCTTCTGCCCCTCCTTGCTGCCCCTTTCTCTGACTTGGCGCGTACCAGCTTCTGCGGCCCGTGCAGCCGCTTCTCGCCAGCCAGCTTCTCTCTCTCGCTCCTGTCTCTAACCACCTTCTCTTCTCGCTTCGCCTTCTCGACAACGTCAGCCTGTTGCCCCGTGCTCTCCACAATCCTCTGGTCTTCGCGCTTCTCCGGCCCCTCCTCCGCGAGCCAGCGTGGCCGCTGATCTCCACTCGTTATCCTTCTCGCCGTTCTCCCTCCGGCTCGGTCGGCAGCGAGCGTCCCGTTCTCGGCCTCCTGCCGTTCTCGCCTTGCTGCCTTCTGCCACGACGGCCAGTCTCTCGCGCCGTCCTATCTCCGGCACTTCAGGCTTCTACAGCCTGCCTCGACCACGCGTCTCTGCCTTGCTCTGCGCCTCGGCGTCCGTCCATCGCGGAGCTTTCGCTGTATCGCTTCGCCGCGGGTGCCTCCTGCCACCCTGTGCCCTTCTTCGCCCGCTCGTTCGCGCCCTTGTTCTCCTTCTCGGTCACCGAGCTTCTGCGCCGTCCTCTTCGGTGCCGCTCGCGACCAGCTGTCTGGCTTCTCCTGCCCGTCCCTTTTCTATCTACCGCTCTCTCTTGCTCCCCTTCCTCCTTCTCCACAGCTTTTCCCTCTCCGTCTAACCGTCCCGTTCTCCCCTCCTTATCCGCTTCCCCACCTTGTCCCCTCCGTCTGCTCCACGAACTCCCTCTCCCCCTCCTATCCCCTTGTCGCTCTCCACCAGCTTCTGCTCTCTTCACCAGCTTCTCCCCTTCTCACCCCTTGCCTCCTTCTCCGCCTCCTCCTTCTCCCGCAGTCTTCTCTCCCTTTCCGCCCTCCTCTCCAGCTCCTTTCTCCCTCCCGCCCTTTCTCCTTTCCCCAGCTTCTCCCCCTGCCTTTCTTCTCCAACCAGTTCTCCCCACTCCTCTTTCTCTACCACCCCTTATCCCTTTCTCTTCTCCCAGCGCAGCTCTCCTTCATTCCTTTCTTTATTCGCACCTAGCTTCTCCCTCTCCTTCTCCACGAGCTTCTCCCTCTCTCGCACACCACTTTCTCCCTTCTCCCTTCCTCCTCTCTCACCAAGCTTTTCCTCCTCCTTCTCCGCCGAGCTTCTTCTCGCTCCACCGACCGGACGTTCTCCCTTCTCTACCCTTCTCTTCTCTGCCAGCTTCTCCCTCCTCCTCCACCACCGTTCTTCCTCTCTCCTTCTCCACCAGCTTATACCCTCTCTCCCCAGCTTTCTCCGCGGCTCCTCCTTCTCGCACCTGCTTTCTCTTCTCCCTTCCTCCATCTCCCACCAGCTTCTCCCCCTCCTCCTTGCCCACCAGCTTCTCCCCTCCTCCCACACCTTCTCCCCGTTCTTCCCTTCTCATTCTCGCACACAAGCTTCTTCGCTCCTAGCGCTCTCTACCATCATGTTATCTGATATCAATGCATGGTATAAGACACTTCCAATACGTAATTGAAAATATTGGGCAATACGGTTTTGTCGTATTGCAATAACGTCTGCAATCACGGTTTTTGGTCGCAATATCACCCCTAATATATACTCTCAACCTTTTGCACCGGTATTGCTCTAATGAAATTAAATGTTTATTGACGAATGAATCAAATAATCTCCTGGTCTTTTTTATTAGAATGAGATAATCTCTTAGCTCACAGGGAAGAAATTCACAAATTCCAGCCGGTAATAGTTGCCACCGGAAAATTGTTGAATTTTTATGTAAAAATGGTATTTTTGGATCTATTTCCAATTACCAGAAAGAGTGGGATACAAAATTTTCGCGCACATGTTACCAATATGACCAAAATAGTCGCATTCGGTATTTTTGTTTGTTTTTATAGTTTAACCCGAGAAAAATAAAAAACAATCTGCCTTAAAATCAAGTCGCCACGTTTGAATTTAAATTTTGCGAATAAAGAACGATTAACTCATAAATACGGGACTTAATAACAATCCTGCACTTTTACAGGGCATATATTTCTCATTAAACGAAGTGTAAAATGTAAATTATGTCGCCAGTGTAATACAGAAGAAATATCCATTTATACATCGACTTACTAAGTCAGCAATTTGAACGGAGAATCGAGAGAGAGAGAAAGAAAACAGCAGACAGAGGAGCACGCATAGAATTAGAGAGTAGGGGAGTGAGAGAGGTGGAGACACATAGAGGAGGAGAGACAGGGAGAGGGGGAACGCCATAGAGATAGGTGAAAGAGAGAAGAGAGAGAGAGAGAGAGAGAGAGAGAGATAGAAGAGAGGCGCGCGCGAACACACCGAGATGGACACAGAAGAGAAAGAGAGTTATGCAGAACACAACCTATAACCAGGCATTTGGCGTAATCTATGTTTCCTTTCGGCCCTATCGAGCAGCTTATACGCGATCGTACGTACATTCAAAACTACGTGTGAAGCGCTGTTTAACTCAAGGTCACGTATAACCGTACGTACGGGTCGGAACGTACGGATAACGCGTTCTGAAACAGCGTTTTACGGACGTGTGAACGCGCTAATGAAGTAAAAGGAGAAGGTGGTTGAGAAGGGAGGAGGGGGATAAGCTGTGGTAGAATAGGAAGGGAGAAAGTGAGAAGCAGGTGAGAAGGAGGAGGGAAGAAGCTGTGGAGGGAGAGGGAGAACCTGGTTGGAGCAAGGAGGAAGGGAAGAAGGGAGAAGGGTGGAGAAGGAGTAGACCGGCGAGAAGAGGATGGAGAAGGTTGGTGGAGGAGGGAGTAGAAGCTGGGGAGAGGAGGTAGGGGAGAAGCTGGTGAGAAGTAGGAAGGGGAGAGGGAGGAGAAGGGAGGTGGGTGAGGAGAAGGGAGAAGAGCAAGCTGTGGAAAGGAGGGGGAGAACTGTCGAAGCTTCTCCTTCTCCATCCAGCTTCCCCCCCTCTCCCGTTCTCCACCAGATCTCCCCTTCTCCCTCCTCTTCTCCACCAAGCTCTCCCCCTGCTTCTCACCATCCTCCTTCTCCACCACGCTCTCCCCTATCTCCACCAGCTTCTTCCGCTTCTCCGCCTCATCCTCCACGGAGCATCTCTTCCCCCTCCTTCCGTTTCTCTCACTCCACCAGCTTCCCCCTCGCATCCTTTCTCCAACGCAGCTTCCCCTCCTGCCTTCTCGTACCACCTTCTCCTTCTCCCCTTCCTCCTCTCCACCAGCTTCCGCCTCCTCCACAATCTTCTCTCCTTCTCCTCCTCCTCCTCTCACCAGTCCTCTCCCACTGCCTTATCCCCTTCTCCCTTCTCCCTCTCCTCCACCAGCTCCTTCTCCCCTCCTGCTCCCCTTTCTTCTACCACCAGTTCTCCCTCTCTCGCCACCATGCTTCTACCCCTCCTCCACCACCTTTCTCCCTTCTCCCCTCCTCTCCACCCACTTCTCCCCTCTCTCCCCTCTCTCTCCACCAGCTCCCTGCTCCCCCTTCTCCCCTTTCTCCTGTCTCACCAGCTTCTCCCTCCTTCTTCTTCACCAGTTCTCTCCTCCTTTTCTACCAGCCTTCGTCTCTTCTCCCCCTTCCTCTTACTCACCCAGCTTTTTCCCCTTCCTCCACACCTCCCTTCTCCCCTCCTTACCCCTTCTCCCTTCCTGCCCTCCTCCTCCAAACCACTCCCTCTCCCCCTCCTTATCCCCTTCTCGCTTCTCCCCAGCTCTCCTCCTCCTTCACCAGCTTCTCCCTTCTCCACCGACCTATCTGCCCTTGCTCCCCCTCTCCTTCTCCACCAGCTTCTCCCTCTCCCCCTCCTCCACCAGCTCCTCTCCCTCCTCCCGTTCTCCTTCTCACCACTTCGCCGCCTCCTTCTTCTCCACCACTTCTCCCCTCCTTTCTCTACCACTCGTCCTTTCTCCCTTCTCCTTCTCCACACAGCTTCTCCTTCTTCGCCTTCTCTTATCGGCCAGCCAGCTTCCCCTCTCTCCTTCCCACCAGGCTTTCCTCTCTCCTTCGCCACGACTTCTCCCTGTTCTCCCCTTCCGTCACTTCTCCCACCAAGCTTTTCCCGCTCCTTCCCACCATCTTCTTCTCCCTCCACACACACGTCTCCTCTTCTCCCCTTCTTCTTCCTGCAGCTTCTCCCTCTCTCCTCGCACCACCTCTTCCTCTCCTCCTTCTCCACAGCTTCTCCCTCTCCTCGCTCCACCAGCTTCTGCCCCTCCTTTCTCCACCTCCTTCTCCCTTTCTCCCCTTTCCTGCATATCTCACACCAGCTTCCCCCCTCCCCTTTCTCCACCAGCTTCTCCCTCCTTCTCCACCACCTCTCCCTTCTTCCTTCTTCATTCTCACGCAGCTTCTTCCCTCCTCCTCGTCATAACCATCAAATTGTTACTATATCATGCATGGCTATACCACTTCCCAATACGTATTGAAAAATATTGCAATAACGTTTTGTCGTATTGCAATATATATGCAATACGGTGTTCTTGGTCGCAATACTCACCCCTAATATATACTCTCAACCTTTTGCACGGGTATTCGCTTAGATGAAGATTAAATGTTTATTGAGCGAATGAATCAAATCAATCACTTGTTTTATTTATGAGAGAATAATCTCTATGCTCAGAGGCAAACAAATTTCATGAAATTTCCCGCAGCCTAATGTATTGCCGACCAAAATTTTGATTGTTTATGTAAAAATGGTATTTTTGGATATTTCTCAATTACCAGAAAGATGACGATATACAAAATTTTCGCCACATTTAGCAAATATGACCAAAACTAGGCGCATCAGGAATTTTGTTTGTTTTATAGTTTACCCGAGAAAATAAAAAAAAAACTGACCTAAAATTCAAGCGCACTTTGGAATTTAAAATTTGCGGAGATAAAGAGACATAACATAATAATACGGCACTTAAATACAATCCCTGACGACTTATTTTACGAGCAATATGTTACAATCTAAAACGAGTGTAAAATAAATTATTCCGAAGTTGTAATCAACAGAGAAATATCCATTCATACATGACTACTTAAGTCCAGAAATGGAAACGGAGAAATCAGCGGCTTTTCTGACGTTTAGCGCGGCTCACTACGTATACGACATGTACGCGCGGCAAAGCAAACGCTCTGACCAGTTCACATGTATCCAGTTATATGTGAGAAATGCAGCACGTGTACACAGTGCTAGGGGGGCGTTAAGCCATGCGAATAAACGTTGAAAGATTGAAAATGAAAAATCGGTAAACATTTTCCTAAAACCTTGAGAGTATCCTTAATATGAATTTTGCACAGGGGAGAGATAGTGATCCGCTAGGGGACGGCTCTGATTGGCTAATTTTGTCTCTTATTTATTTTATTTTGTATTATTTTTGGCTAATTTTGTTTTATTTTAGAATTAGGGATAGGGTTAGGGTTATGGTTAACTGATTTCTATATCCACAACTTATTTCTATATTCACTATCTCTCCCCTGAGACCTACTACATTAATATTACTGAATACATCAGACAATCAGATATCAATATGTGTTATTCACTTTGTTGGTGTTATCGGCGTTAACAAATACGGTGGTGTATGCCATAATAACATACTGACGATACTGTTCTAATCCATTATACCATGACCCGTAGATTTACGCATTTATTCTTTGTTAGGTAGGGTATGATTACATTATAATATTTTATATACAATATCATTGTTGATATAAACATCAAGATCAATGCTAAACTAGCAATTGGTCAAAGGACGGACTTTCAATATTTGTGTGGAGGTGGGCTAAATTTAGAGTCTACAGTAGTTGTGGTACCATGCACTAAGGTGAAACCACCGCCATATAATTGCATTATTCAATGTCTCAATTGATGTTAATCTGTGTGTAATTCTGCTTTGTATCCTATCGCCCTGTTGAATGTTTCAAGTGTGTTCCAAGCATTATCGGGTGCAGAATTTAAAAAATTGATGGTAAGGCAAGTGTTATACATATAATAAGAAACCTTAAGTCACTGTAGTAAGTTGGGAGAATCATCAAGGCAAAACTTTCCTTCGAAGGCAAATCAATTTTTAACAACATTTTTTTGTGGCAATGTTGCATACGCTAGCCATGTATGTTTGTTGCGGTTGATATTCAATTTTCAGGGGTAACATATGACTATTAAGGAGGGCGACGATGGCACTTCTTGTAAGTGTCGGGGTGAAATATGACTGATATATACGAGTACGGTTTTCAAAACTTTTCACATAACGCCATCACTCTATTTTTCTTCTTCACTTTCAGGCTCAGATGCCGGATCCAAAAACTTACAAGCAGCATTTCGAAAATAAACATCCAAAGCACACAATCCCTGACGACCTTAAAGATGTATAATCAGGTAGAGACTCATCATTTTGCATATTAGCGTAACCTTATATGATTTATGGTGGATGTGTATGTGTGTATGTTATAACATTCTAGTGGTTATGCGTGCGTTTGAACATAACTTTTAGAGTAAACTCTTGACTGCCTAGCGCTATGTAACGGCAGTATCTATCCAATGGGACCAGTATGCACTCACACGCATGCACGCATGTATTACCTGTATCACTATAAACCTACTATATGTCACTATGTTTTAGGAATAGGAGAATCTACTTACTGTCAGAGATCTGAGAAATTTGGAGAAAAGTGATACGTGAATAAATCCTCCGGGTCTTTGAATCTTTGGAAACGTCTGTCATGCTTGGAATATTCTCATCACTGTTATTTTACTTTGACAATTATGCCCCTCAGGCAAAATACAAAACTGTTTTGCACATTTTGTAGAGAATACATGCAAAGTGTTATGATATAATTTTCGTTCCAATTGGTCACAAGTGGTGTTGTGTAACTTTGAAAACTAGACTGATGGGATCTAAGAATCGTGGACAACCGTTCTAAACACGAGTTGGGTAAAAATACGAATAAATACGTCTTTTCCATACAGATTTCTGGTGCAGCGATAAATGACTTGTTAATAATTATTGTGTTGTTAAAGTTAAGGTTTTAAGCTCAATATTGTCGGCTGTGCGATGACAAATTACAATATGACATCATCACGTTCTAACATTGAAATTAATGCACACGAATTTAGAGTGACACAGCATCGTTTGGATTTTAAATTGATTATACTTTTATTAGCTGCAGTCACATTAAGTTTGTAAATAATTGAGCTATGCTATGTTTATGCAACAATGTTAGTGGTATTTATTGGGAGGATGTGTAAAAATGATTGAATGGTGACGGCATGTAAAAAGAATTTGGTATTAACGCAATGCACTTTCGTCTTGTTTATTCTTCCCATCGACATCTGTATCATCCCCCAAGTTCCCAGAGTAATTTTCTGGATTTTCCATGTTGTATCTCCATGTGAAGGATAGCAGTGTTAGGCAGAGTGTAAAAATGTATGCATTCTATTTTATATCCTGAATAATTCTTACAATTCGTGGTGTAATCTGTTCTATGTATGGATATCACTCACATCAGATGGCCTCTTGGAAATTAATGATATATAGCCTAATATAATACATAACATCTGTCAGGGTTGTGTAGCTTTTGTATAATATAGGGTATGGAGGGAGCACTCGCTGATACTCCAGTAATAAAAATCGTTGACGTGTTTATTATAAAAATGTGTAGCCTTTCTGTTGACATCATTCAAATTTGTCACAGTGAAAATCGTTTGAAAAGGTATTTATTCATTCTTCCACACGTCGCTTCTTTTACAATAAAAAATGTACACTATATACACATGCACCCCTCATTGAGGCCAAAACTCAGAACTGGACGGAAGTTTGAATCATTCCCGATGACATCGCGGTACAACAACCACTCCGAATTCTTAAACCTGGGGCCAGTTGTCAGAAAAAAAATTAGTCTTAATATCATTTTTAGCATTAATTCTTTCTCATAGACCAGACCTCTATACACTGCATACGAGAAAATCGTACGTTTACCACGTTTCCGTCAGCAATATACGAGAAAAGGTTCATATTAAGACTAAATCTTTATAATAATTTTGTTTCTGACAACAGTGTCCCTGACAAAGAGAACTCGCTCAAACTACATATTGTACTAGATACCGTTGCTAGATACGGATACTAGATACCACTACTAGATACGGATACTAGATACCGTTACTAGATACCGATACTAGATACCGATACTAGATACCGTTACTAGATACCGACACTAGATACCGATACTAGATACCGTTACTAGATACCGATACTAGATACCGATACTAGATACCGTTACTAGATACCGATACTAGGCACTACTAGATGCAATACAGTACACAATCTATTATCGAAATTCTGAAAACCGAAAAGCTCCGAAAACCGAAAGTGTTTTTGTGGAGGTCGTCTGCACACCAAAGCTTGCGTTTAGCTGCACAAGGTTCATTGCAGAAATATTAACGTGTTTGGCATTACTCATACATATTGTACTGTACCGGTACAGCATTTGGCCTCTTGAAAACTTGGGTTTTAGTAGTAGTTAGTATATAATATGCTAGTTGTAGGATATACGGTATGTATATCTGTACTGAACTACTACTACCATTCCGAAATCCGAAAAATTCCAAATTCCGAAACGTGTCTGGTCCCAAGGGTTTCGGATAATAGATTGTGTACTGTACTAGATACTACGAGATGCAATACTAGATACTGCTAGATGCGATACTAGATGCCGAATAGAGATGATCCTAGACGCAGACCGATCCCCTAGCGAGTGAGACCGCTAGCAACACGGTCAGCAGCCAGGTGGCCGCTCGAGGGCGCCCTCCCACGGCCGTCAGGAACGGATAGAAGAAATCTCCGGGCAGGTGGACGTCGATGATGGGAATCTCGGCGGCGGCGCGGTACGGAGGCTGACTCGCGTCGACGAAGCTCACGGAGCTCTTCACCTCGAACGCCTGCCTCGCGCGCAGCCTGCCGGGCTGGCAGTACGGAGCCACGCACTGCAACGCGAGAAAGATGGCGACGATTCATGAAGCCTACAGACACGTATAGAACGTACAGAACAAATATAGACAAAATTTGTCTTTGTTAACTCCTGATGCTATCAAATTATTTCTATAAAATGGCTTCAAGGACACAGCTTTATCAGCTACCAATACTATACCTGATAAAATCAGGAGTAACAGCTTGAAAATATGAATAAATGATAAATCATTAGCAAATACTGGAATAACTCCTATTACCTACTCCCGAATAAATTATTGTGTGAACCTGACACATACCATGAAAGCAATATCTTGCGGCTTGTCATAGCGGTACACAACGCCTACGACCTTTGCTTGAGGATTTGCTAAAGATCCAACATTGGCATAAGCTATTTCGATGTGTAGTCCTAGAACAACACCACTGCATTTGGCCTCGGTGGTTGCGGAACCCTATAAAATACAACTCGAGATGGATATCCAATTCGATTACAACTTACCAAAAACTTACGTTACAACTAAGTGATCGACAGTTTATTTTAGTTTATAAAATGTACATGTAGTTACTCATAAAAATATCTAGTGTTATGTTATAAAGTGATTATTGAATGCATGGTACACTGTTAACCTTAATCATAATAGACTGGACAAACAAAAAATTTTGATAAAGAATGTAAAAGCATTAAAAGTTAACCAAGAGTATTTGTGAAAAACCCATCATCTTTGCATTACTTCAAATTGGATGAATAGTTTCAACTTGTGTGCTTAGAGAAACCCCACAGACATATAAACCGCATTCCAAATTGCACTTTAGGTCAATGCATACCACGATTTCCGGTGGCGTGTTTGTTTCCAGGACGGTAACCCAGTCCCCTGGGTTTGCTACCAGTGATGTGCCAAACGTGGCCACACGATCTGGACGATCGCCTGCCAGTGCGCTGATGGCACCCTCATGAATGAGCTTACATGCCTCACTCATGTTAGTGAACATCACCCTACAATCAGAGGTAACCAAACCTCACTAGTTTACCTCACTATAGTTATTAAATTACAATGGTATAATTATATTCCTAGCATGAATAATTACTCTTGATTCTACAAAATTAATATTTTTCTGGATTGTTTATCATTAGAGTAGACATCATAATGCTAACATAGCATGGTTTTTTTTTACTTTTACGGATTGTTTATCATTAGAGTAGATATCACAATGCTAACAGACCATGACTTTTGTACGAAAATGTGAGTGGGCAGTCATCGAATGATAGACTAAAATGAAACCGCGTAGAGGCTTGCTTTAGGCTCTAGTTTCTGACGTGTGCAGTGAATTAAAAGTGGACATGTGCAGCTTGAATTTATAGCAGTTGACTGACTGTTAGGATGAAGGAGGTGAACCTAGTTAAATTATCGTTCAATACAGTACTCACTCTACTAAGCAGCCTGATCTCATGTTCACGCCAAATTTGATGGGTGTTCTCTGCAAAGTATTACTGACACAAAGCCCTTTAGAATCGGCTGTGAGCAATGTCATCCAACTGTTGCGATCCTGGTTCAACTCGATGGCAGATCTCAAGATTAAAGTTAAGGAAACAACACAACGATTCTCGGACGTGGATCAAAACCGAAGAAATAACGCGAGGGCACTATGATAACTTCAGAAGTGACGACACCCTTTTTCATCGAGTTTGATCAAACTCACATGCAAAATCGGCAACTGTAGATAAACGCTTGGCCTCTTCTATGACCGTTAAAAAATAATAAACATCAACAAATCATTTAAGTGGATACGAGGTGTTCTTGGTGACTAGCTTTCCCGCCATTATCGGTTGGTCGACCTGATATCCAGGATTACCACTTCTCAGAAACAGTTCTTCCTCCTTCTCTCCTGCCTGAAATTCAAATCTCTGTGTTCATGCAAGAAATTTAATTGGACAATAAAAACTAGTAGTCACATATTCATGTAAGATCAATGGAATAGTGAGTCTAAGTATTCTGATGATAAGGTGATAAAAAGCGGCGAGTACATGAGTGATTTCAACAGTAACATAAGCATTTCAACATCACTATGCATTACCACACAGGTTGTGATTTCCACTCAAAAACATGTAGCTGAAGCATGCATTGCCCGATTATTGATACTCGTCTCACGCAAGAATAATTGGAAAGCCACGTCAGGCGAATGGGCGCGGATAACAGAAGATACAGAAAACATACCCATCGATAGACGGTCCTAAAGGTCTGTAGCAGTGACGATTTCTCAGATGTGATTTCTCCCAGCAGAAAAGCTACCCTGGCTGATGTGATGCCTTCTGTGCCATTGTGCGTGATTGTGTATGTCACCTGCAAAATGACTGGACTTTATGACATTCCATGACATTCCCTTGGGAAAGACCTTGCCATTTTATTAACAAAGATATCATTAAAATAATCTCATTTGGAGATATTTCTTGACATAACTGTGATAACATATGATTATTAACATAAATAAACGTGACAATAACAAGTATTGTCAACCGATCTTTTCACAACTGACACTGAAGCTCACTTGACCTATGTTTCTGAGCAAGAAAATGCCATGTCCCATCCCTCCCCGACTACAGCTATTGTTAATTGTTGGGTTGGTTATAAGCTGGATCAGTCGTTACATTGTTACATTATTTATTACGCATTTTTCACACGTGCACGCCAAATTGTAGACTGTGCAGCACTTCGCTTCTAAGCATTGTAGACTGTAATTGTCTAACTATGTCTAAACAAAATTTTCACAACCCTGACATCAAACAACAGACTTTAACACCTGAACCACATGCCCGGCTGTTACATTTTCCCTTTTACCAGTTTTCAGCTAACATTAACATAATGAATGCTCCAGCAGCCTCCTTAAACGGCAATTAACCTATCCGCTTTGAGCGATTGACAGGTAGCCCTAACCAATCAGTGTTATCATAGGCACATACTAAAATAGAGGCTTAGTAATAAAGTACTGCAAAGTCTACAAATCGGGGTGCATACGTAATGACCAGGTACAAACAGCATGAGCTTGATCGACCAACCCAGCAATAACATAAGGATAATATCAGGAGTGTTTAATATAGATATGGATTATAGATATATATATATATA